ATGATGAACCCCGCCCCCGGTCCGTAAAAAAAATTGTCTTCCACGAAACCGGTCCCTGGTGCCAAAAAGGTTGGGGACCGCTGGTCTCGATTACAGATTGCCAGTACTCTGACTCCAAATAAAAACTAGGCTAAAGTCTACATTAGTGGGGCGTTTTGTATTATTCTATTTTTATTAACTTGTTCATTATTATTTTTCTTCTATCAACGTGACTTTACCGAAAGAACCAAAGAATAGTGTTTTATTTCTCCAATTATCACCGTGGGATGATTTTGCCAGCGATCGAGACTAACGACAGAGTAGCGACCAAAAGGAGCGAACGTGCCCCGGAGGAAGTCCACACTGGGCGGAGACAAATCGACAAAGCTCCGTGTGCAGTTACGGTCCCTGCCCTTGCGAACAACGGACAGAGTTGGCGTCCGGTGATACAGCAAGGTGAGGTCGGCTCGTGCAGGATCGTGAGAGATGGCGGTGGCGGCGAGGGCGGCTTGGAACTTCATCCAGCTGTGGCTCGGTTAATTTTGGGAACGTGCTTTGTTGTTTATATTGTGCGGCGGGTGTGAAGGTGGGCTCGACGGCATGCGCATTGCCCCATTGACTGCGCATTCGCGCAGTCAGAGACATTTTCTGCAGCCTGTAAAGGTGTCTGCTTCACATTCTGAATGACACGAGCATGGCAAAGAGAACAGCCATGACCATCGGCGGTAAGTGTTTGACTCTTGATAAATGCAGTGGTTGTATTTACCCATGTCACTTTTATTTTTCTAAGTACTTTTTTTAACGGAATTTGTAAAAAAAAAAAAATCTTATCCTGATTGTGCTATTGGCTTCATGTCATATGACAGATGATCCAACCGGTGCAAACCTTCACGTAAGACAATGGCCCACGGAAGCATACATCATAGAGCTAGCTCTGAAATTCCTTTCAGTGACTTCCGGTTGACCCAGCAGAGAAAACTTAACAAAATGTAAGTTTCTACTTGTTCTGTATATGATAATAATGTTCCCCACACAATATTTTAATTCTAAGAGCTAGATTCTAGAAGAAGAAAAAAGCATGCATAACCACATTTTATGCAATGCTTTTCTTTGTATGCGCTGACATTGAGATCCGGGTTTAATCTCATTTGGCTGAAACCTGGACTAGAACGCAGGAGCTCCACAATGCTGACTCAGACCTCTGAGCCACATCATCACCTGTCTCGATGCATTCCATTCCCAATCTGTCATTGGCTTTGATTCCCTTACTCTGAGGAATCATTTGCAACAACAAACAACTGAAGCGGGATAAGGGGCATGAATGATGCTGACGCCTGGCTTAGTTTTTCAAGGACCACCTCGCAGAAAGAACGGCACAAAGGGTAAGATTTGATGACAATGTGTAAGTTATCGTTGGACAATGGCAAAAAGATGAGCTCTAACGATACCCATTGCCATGACGTGCTTCAGCCATATATTCCATCAAGATCATGAATATCCTCTTGATTGTGCATTGTTCACTGGTCTAGGGTACGTACACACTTGGGGGTGGTGGCGGTGCCTTTGCAATTGCTGTAACTAAACTCTGGAACTCCTTGCCCCTTCGAGGTCACGACTTCTGAGACACGATCAATCTTCTTTGCTTATTTTCCAACGTCTTTCTCACTTATTTTTTCCCTTGGTCGATGTTAAACTGTTTTCCGCTTGTCCACGCATAGCGGCCCCGTGGACAATTGTTTAAGGGCGCTTTATAAAGGGAAATTATTTATTATTATCATTAATGCAGGCAACAAGAGAGTTTTAGGAGAAAGATCACAAGCGGACATAACGGTGAGATGATACGAATAGACCGAGAAGCACGACTCATTTGTGTTTAATCTGAACTCGTGTGTGTGTGTGCTTTTTTAATTAAAGTCACGTTTCAGTGTACGTACGCTTCCGCTGCTGCGCAATGCTAAGCGAGTTGGTCTTGCAACGGAGAGGTCGCTTCTGTCCACCCATGCAGCAGCTTAAATGGGTTCACTGCAGATTGGTGGTGGGCGGGTGATGTCCGGTAGGGAGAAGTCTGGGTGCTCCCACCTCATCCAAGACATTTTACCGGTACGGAAGAGTAGGCAAAGTACCCTCCGGAGGAGCTCTCCCCTGGGTGATCAGCAGTATCGTGAGCAAGAACTTTCAGGGCTGCACTTTTGACGTTTAATTGTGTGTGGGTGTTCATACTCGGAACTCTACCCTGTTAGAAAGAATGCAAATGACACAGCAACAACAAAACAAACGAAGAACGAGTGATTATTGAAATTAATCGCACCAATAAGTTACGAAAATTAATGGAATCGCTGCAGCGAGAATTGTTACATTTCTACCATTTACATCGTGCCTTTCGAAAATAGACATCGAATCTATTCTACATTATGCCCATTAAAATAGTAACAGACGTTCAATATAACCGCATTAAAATACCTTATTTTAACGTCATATGATGTGTAAACAAAGAACTATTGTTTCCGCATGGTTAAGCTAATTCGGCTACAATTCGACTAATTGTAACAGAATTGTACATCGTTCGAATAGGTCTGTAAGTTCATTTAAATGAATGTGGTATTTTTTCAAAATAAATTATCGCTCCAGGACATCACAGGAGCCCTGTGGCATGGCAGAGAGCTTTTCTCGCACTCTTTCAGATGTGTATTGAATCCGTAAGAGCTAGTGATCGGTCCCGGTCAATACAATTTATCAAGGACATCTGCGCTGAGGGATTTGGCACCACTGAATGTGACAAAAATTTTAATGTGAATAAATATTACAGATGGCAATGAACATGTAAGCGTTGTACTGTGCCTGCATTGTCAATAATAGCGGTAAAGGTGTGCGGCTCACGATTGGCAGGATGTGAGTTCAAATCCTGGTTGGGGGGTTGACTCGGCACATCCTCCCGCCAGGGGCCGATAAAAAAACATATGAGCACCGCTTTGTAAATACATAAACAGTTGGTTGTCTTATGGGTGTACTTGCCTCCGCCATAGGCACTATGAATTTCCACCGCTGGCTGAGAACTGTGCATGCAGAAGGATGCTCATTGAAGCAGAAAATCACGCAATGATAAACGTATTTTCTCATGTGCTGTAAAAGAATGCTAACACTTACGTGGGACTATCGTTTTTTTCATGGAAATGGAACGGATAATGCACGGTAACATGATAACAATTGTATGTTAATAGCTTGAAAAAGTCTCCACTTCTCCGTCATCATTGTCAACACACGTCTGGAATCTTCTCCAGAGCCCCCGAGGCAGCATATTCCTCGTGGTATTGTTGCAAATTCTCAGAAGTGTAAAAAAAAAACGCCATTTGAAGCACCCTGTATATGCTAAGGATTTCCGAAAAAAAGACTCCCTCCCCCCACCTCGCCCCCCACCGGGAGACGCTCAAAGGACGTCCTCGAGGCAAAATATCCAGAGACGATGGCGTTGGGTAGAGCGGGGTGGTGCGCCTGGCCGAGGAGAGAGACCGGCGATCCGGGAGCCACAGTTGACGCCGCTGGTGGAGGACAGGGCCGCATGGAAGAGGGCCTTGGTGGAGTCGCTCACCCCGTGACCAAATTCAGTTTGGAAAAAAAACGGACCGATATTGATATATACATTGATGTATAAAAAGATGGATCAAATTTCAAAGTAGTACTGCTTTGAAATCGGGTCAATCGTTTTTAAAACACCCTTTATACATAACCACGGTAATGCTGGTGACGCTTGCGATTTTTTTGCCTCAGCGGTGGATTTGTTGTGGTACATGTTGTGATAAGCGTAGCTGCAGGGATCGCACAAACCCCAATGCAATACAACAGAAACAAATATTAGGGGGGGGGACGATTCTTACGTACCCACGATTCTATGGAAGTATTGAAAGCTAAAGAATCAATATTAATCAATGCATCGTTTTTTCTATCAAACACCTCTACTGAGTCACCATGCATATATCGATTAAATTGCCTTACATCTTCACCAACAGCGGATGAAAACGTACATATTCTATTAAGTTCGATTGGTGTGGTGTGCTTATTCCATTTACGTGTGCACGTGTGCACGTATGTTGAACGTATTTCGCATCGTACGCGGCCAACCGCGCTAACCGGAGGTGAGGAATTTACAAAGCAGAATCGCTTTGCCGTTCAAACGGCAAAGCGATTGATAAATATATCACTGGCACTAGACCTTTTGTGTTTGACCCCCCCCCACCACCACCCCCCACCACCACCCCCCCCACCACCATATCACGACCACACCACCCCTGGTCAATGCCTCTTGTCCATGCACCTCCCACCCCCTCCCCCATTTGTTACTAAGGCCACGATACAGAGATACCATTTGTCGATGGCTCTAGTCAACGCAGCGTCAGTGCGGTATTTACGTGGCGAGATGTTAACTCCCTCGCCTAGTATGCAGGAGGACGGGGGTTCGATCCCGACCCTCACGCCTGTGTATTTGTAGTTTGGCTTTTCTCTCTATCCCCTTGGTCACGTGGATTTTGTCCTGGCCCTCTGGGGGTCCCCCCCCCACCCCCCTCCACATTTAGAAACGTGCGTTTACAGTATTTGGCTGCTATACATTTCCACTTGATAAGACACTTCCTTGAGCTATAATTTGTGGCCATGTCGCTTCTGGACGAGACCTATATAGCTCAGTGGGCTCTACCTGTTCAAATAAAAATAGTTTAAAGTCTAAGATATTAGGGTTTTCCCCTTTTTTCTGGCAACAAAACAGCTGTGTTAAGATGTTAAAATACCAAACTGAAACCTTTTACAAGGAATCATGTCTGCATTAACCACAATGCTTGCGGTCAGAATGCAAACAAAACAAATACTGAAGTTTAAAGTCTAGTTTAATTTTAAGTGTGTGTTTGCCGCTCAAGGTGGCACTGTCACTCTGCATGCACATTCGACATTTCTCCTGCACGGTTTCAATGTTGCAGCCTGCAGTCCCCTATACAGGAACCGCCGACTTAGACGACGGGATTTTGTACTCGCAGACTGGTGCACCCTCCTCTCGTGCTTGCTGGTGGGCACATCGTGCGTCGCCCACGGCTGTCCGGACGACTGCGTCTGCCGAGAGGACTCGCACTTCGTCAATTGCAGCTCGCTGGGGCTGTCCGACGTACCGGGCAACCTCCCGGCGGACACGGTCACGCTGAGCCTCCAGGGCAACGACATCGCGGAAATCCGAGCCGGCAGTTTCGCGGGCGTCGAAGCATTGCGGGCGCTCGACCTCTCCGACAACAGAATCCACTCGATCGACGCGAACGCCTTCGGCAAGCTGAGCAAGCTCTCCCATCTGAACCTGAGCCGCAACAGGATCCGCGAGCTTCACGGGGAGACGCTGCGTCACTCTCCGCGGCTGAGCCGCCTCGACGTGACGCACAACGCGCTGATGGCCCTGCCCCTGGGCCTCTTCCACGGTCTGCGCGACCTCAGCCGCCTGCACCTTCGCGGGAACGGCCTCGCCAGCCTTGAGGGCGGCGTGGTGCATCCTCTCGTGGGGCTGCGGGACCTCTCCCTGGCCGACAATCCCTGGGAGTGCGACTGCCACCTGTCAGAGATGAGGAGTTGGCTCGAGCGTTACTCACACCGAGGTATCGGCGGCGTCGCGAATTCGTTCTCCGCGCCTCTTGGCAAATGCGTTGCGTAGATGCGAAGCTGTGCGTTTCAACACGCGGTAGGGATTTTTAAAGGCGATGTCATGGTTTCGAAATTGATGTTTGGGTCACGCCACGCAATTATCCAAACTCGTGTTATGAAACCCTCCACAAGCCGACACACCCAATTACATTATAGTATCACTCGTACAAGCGTTTAACGTGCCAATCATTATCAACTTAGCGTGGAGCTAAGACAATCATAATTGAGACGTTATATTTTTTGACGTGACAATTTAATCTGTATGGCTATGTTGGGTGGCAGAGGGTTTCAGGAAATAAATTTGGACATATCATGACGTGCAGTGCCGGATGAAGCTAATGCGGGGCCTGTAGCATGATGTTAAAAAGAGGCCTTATATAGAAAAAACGTACATATCAAAAAACACACAACTTTGACTTGCATAGTTAAGTAATTGTATTTTTTCATTTGCTATACAACCAGATAATATGACAAATCGCCAACCTTAAACACCCAGTCGTTCATAAAAGTTGAAGGGCAGTATAGTACTATAGTAATAGAGCAAGTGCAGAATCACTAAACCAGAATTGATAGCTTGAAAGCATTTAGCGCGGGTGCCCTTGAAAGTGCGGGGCCCGTAGCACGTGCAGCTACTTTTGCTACTGGGATAATCAGGGCACTGATAACGTGGTCAAACCCAAGTATCATTTATTAATGTGTGTTGATTTACACACATGCTCTCGGCCTTGTCTAAACCACCAGCTCAACATATGGCCTTATTGTTATTTAGATCACCAACTCGAACAGCTGCAATATGTGGCCATCCCAAACAGCGGCAGTGAAACCAAAAGGCGACTCTCGACTGGTCTCATCCTCATTAGAACTCATAAATACAGTTTTTTTTTTTAATCAAAAGCTGGACACACGTTCCTGTTGTGTACATATGTTGCACCTTTCAAAGTCCATAACGCTGTCTAGATTTGAAGTTTTCTCGACTGCAGGGATCCATACTATTTGGTTCTTTCGGTAAAGTCACGTAAGTATAAAGTAAAATAAATTAAATCACGACGTTTCGGGCGCAACACAAGCGCCCGTCATCAGGCGGGACAACCACAGCAAGAAACACACATTGCTGAAGTGGGCAAAAGGGGCTGCTGCAACAAGAGGCTATATAGGCAAAACAGGGGGGAGGAGCCAGGGAGGAGGGACAGGGAGGGTGGGGTAGGGAGGTCACAAGCACGGTAAAAAAAATCAGAATCAGAATCAGAAAGGGTTTTATTCGCCATGTAAGTTCACACCGACACGGAATTTACTTTGGCAGGATGGTGCATACATTCAACATATAGGAATCTAAAATCTTAAATAAGTTTTAAACGAGTCTTACTATAAGGGTTAAAAGTCTAACACCAAGGGGCTGAAGTATATAAAATTAAATAAATATCGAATATAAAATAGCTTTAAGATATAATTTAAAAATAAAAAATACAAATAGGGTAACATAGTTAATATCGGCAAGGTGTCGTTATGTAGATCAAATGTTAAAAACAGTGTTAGCCCTTGGCCTTGTTTAACAGGCCAGCAGCAGATGGGAAGAAACTATTTTTATGGCGTGAGGTTTTGGTCCTGATGGACCGAAATGGTGTGGTTGTCCCACCTGATGACAGACGCTTGTGTTGCGCCCGAAACGTCGTGATTTAATTTATTTTATTTCTACGTGACTTTACCGAAAGAACCAAAGAGTATGGATCCATAATGCAGGGTTTTTTTTTAGGTTAGATCGCGTAAATGTATAAATGTGTCGTTAAACCCGCCACCACCCGACACAGCCAACTAGTAAGGGTTGTCACGTAAACAGAACGTGGCCAATTCGTCACTAGTACAGCACACCGGTGTGTTGGAGAGCCAAGCCACAACATTTACAAGCTGAGTGCGACGTTTCGACACTAATTACAACTAGCTTCATCAGGCGACAGCCAGATTTGTGGAGAAATCCTCCTGTTTCGTTCCTTAAATAGAGGCGTAGATGTGATGACGTCACTTGTGAGCCATTTTTGGGCGAAGTGGTGGGGGGGGGGGGGGATTAATTAATGCGTATAAATGGGAATCCATTACCGGTTGGGTTAATTATACGGCAATGAACGTACATTATGCATGCGCATTATGGAAGCCCATTGTTCTTGTACCTCCTGTCGATTGTGTGCGTTACTAAAATAGCAGTAGCCTGTTATTGTCTGTTCAACAGTGATCCCCACTGAAGTATGGTGACATGTATAGACATGCATTTAAGCAATGTATTAGTTGACGATTCGCTTCCAAGCAGCACAAAGTCGGTAGCTCTCCGAACGGTTAACAATATTTGTATTTCCCACAAGTTAACGACACATTTATATATTTACGCGATCTAACCCCCCCAAAAAAACCCCTGTATTATGGATGATGTTGGTCGCGAAAGCCTACTCCATCTTAAAAATTTCGAAATGTGTGTACACGTGTCAATGCACCGTTTGCCGCATACGCTTCACCCGACACCCTTGGACGTCCGTACCAATGAGATGTGCCATCTCAACTGAGTTGCCACGCAAAAATATTAAAGTTTACTAACAGATCTTCATCATAGAAAGGCAAATTGACATGCTCAGTGTCCCGGTCAGTCATTCACATTCGCCCCTTCTTGTCCTTAATTGTTATAATCATTGCAGCCGTTTTCATTCTTTTCTTTAAAGGTTACATTCATCATCGTGGTCTTCTTTATCAATCTGTTGTGAATTGCACTTGTTATGCTCTTTAATTTTAATCTAGATTTGAAGTTTTCGTGACTGCAAGGATCCATACTCTTAGGTCCTTTCGGTGATTTAATTTATTTTATTTTTATCTTTCATTTTAATTTGTGATTTTTTTTTTGTTTCCTCCACATTGATTCGATACCAATTACTAATTTTGACGTGCTTTGTTTTTGTTGGGTTTTCCGTTAGAATTTTTTTCCTTAAACGATATCCAGGAGATTACCGGTTCAATCATCAAGAGCGGTGGTGTAAGCAGTAAGCAAGTTTCTTAAATCACCACCGCCTCTGTCCAACCAGCAACATAAATTGGTAACGCTATTTACTAAACTGATTTTTATTTTACCAGATAAGGCGCCACTGAGCTATGTAGCTCTTTTTCAGAAGCGACCTGACCACAAATGACAGCTCAACGAAGTGGCTCGTCGCGTGGAAATTCATCGCAGCCAAATACTCGAGACGTGTGTTTCTAAATGCGGAGGGGAAATCCCGGAGGACCCGGAGAAAAAAATTCACGCAACCATACAGGCTTCACGGTCGGGATCGGGATCGAACCTACGACCTCCTGTATACCGGGCGAGGTAGTTAACATCTCCTGGCCACCGTGGCGCCTGTTCAGTCGATCGGCAGGCCGTGTGTGCTGGAGTAAGGTATGGGTACTCGGCAGCGTGGTCGAGTCGGGATATTCCCTCTAGGGCGCTCCCAGAACACCCCGGAGAAGAGTGGAGTGAGCAAGCAGTTTCAGGGCAGCACCTTTATATTTTGATCGTGTAGATTTGAAGTTTTCGTGACTGCAGGGACCCATACTCTTTGGTCCTTTCGGTGAAGTCACGTGGGTATACAATAAAATAAATTAAATTCGTGATTTAATTTCTTTTCGGTAAAGTCACGAAGGTATACATTTAATTAGTGATATGATTTATCGTATTTTATTCCTACGTGACTTTCCCGAAAGAACGAAAGAGAGTTTTGATTATGTATTAAATCACAATCAGCATCCATGTCATTGCATTTGCCAGCATATTTGTAACGTTTCATCACTATCTTCGCGTTGTCAATTCAGCTCGTCACGAATACTGTGGATTTATTGCCTCCTGGCAAAGCAATGCTGTTTCCTGTTCACTGGCCCAGGGCTACCAATGTAAATTAATTCTACCCCATACTTATTCGGCTCATGTTATTACTAATAATACATATATAAATATACTCTTATGTGAACGGATGTAATTTATTTATCAAAGTTAGTCAGATCTCAAATTACTATCCATCAAGGCACTATGCCCAGATCCAAGATTTTTTACCCCCTACTGCTAACATTTATACCTTTCGTTTATTAAAATTACTATTATTTATTGATTTCGTGCCTCCCCCAAGTGTAAAATAAGTCCCAAGGCACCAGACAGAATTTATAAACACAAGCGGACAGACTGCACGGAGACATATAAGTGAACGCACATGAACTTAAATCACAAAAAAAGTTCCCAAGACAGCCAATAACATTGTACGCACTGAAGTGTATCATAAACCAACCGCCACCGTGGCAGGGTGGCACAGGGGCGGATGGGTGGCCCAGTAGATTTCGTGCCAAACGACACGCGGTCCAAACCGATAACACATCTAAGCACATCCGTGAAAAACCTACGCAGTGACAGCAACTACACCGGGCACCTCTCCGCAACCTTCACCTTGCGCCACTCTGCGTTGCCAGGAGGCGCCGTGGACGAGGTCAGGTGCTCCTTCCCCAGGAGCCTGAAGGACCGGAGCCTCGCGTCGCTGCCGGCCGACATCTTCTCGGAGTGCGCGCCGCTCCGGGAGAACCCGGCTCTCGCGTCCTCGCCCGGGGTCGCGGCCTCGCCCGGGGTCGCGGCCTCACCCGGGGTCCTGCCCTCGCCCGGGGTCGTGCCCTCGCCCGGGGTCGCGGCCTCGCCCGGGGTCGCGGCCTCGCCAGGCGACCCAGAGCAGGGGGAGGAACCGGGGGCCCTTGTCGCCGCCGCCGACGACGCCGCCGACCCGCCCTTCTGCACCGTGCGGCCCAAGCAGCCCCCCGTGAACGTCCGCCGCGCGGTGGGCACGCTGGCCGTGGCGGGGGTCGTGTGCGGAATCACGTCGCTCATGATGGTCGTGGCCGCCGTCTACGGCTGCCTGTACGCGGCGATGATGTCCAGGGTGCGCGGCGGCGGCGGCGGCGGCGACGAGGCCAGGGAGCGGCAGTCGCTCGCGATGGAGGCGTCCGAGGAGGCGTCCGAGGAGTTCGCCAAGGAGCCGCTGAACCCGTCCCCGGCGTGACTCCGCGGTGCCGCGGGCGTCGCTGCCGCTGTTTGTTGTCGTTGTGCAAGGGGCTCGTCGTGGGTGCCGGAAGATGCAGCTGTCAGTTGGGATGCCCGGCCGCAGCCAGGGCTTAATTTGTATCGGAATAATTTGCGTGTTGCTGGAAGAATGATTGGGGTAGGTGTCGCGTGACTAGTAACCGTGGCGACGGCGATGGGTGTACTGGATGCGGTGTGCAGAATGCGGAAATATTTTTGTGGACCTGGCTGATATTGAGCCCTGGCCAGAGGCATTTAACGTTTGGACCTCCTCCCATCCTATGAATTGTCACATAGGACCGCAATAACATTGAAGATTCACGCTGGGAATGTAGCGGTCTGCAGTGGCTGTGGTAGCCACGTGACCCAATTAGATACAAGATATGAGGAGGTGTCCTGGAAACACTAGATAACCTACGCAAGGTAATTCTCCAGTGAGCAGTGTGTGCTTCACGGTACGTATATTAAGTGGATGGAATAAACCAATTATTAAGTTCATTGTTCGGCCATCTCCGGAGAGATGATACAATACAAATTGTAAAATTGGATATAAAATTTTTGACTTAAAACATTCGTGACTGCAGGAATTCATATTCTGTGGTTCTTTCGGTAACGTCACCTTGATAGAAGAAAAAATAATAACAATAAAATAATAAAAATGAAAATAAAGTGAATACAAAATAATAAAAATATCACGACCTTTCGATCGCAACACAAGCAATTTTGTTCTCCTGATGACGGTTGTTTGAGTTGTGATCGAAACGTCGTGATATTTGTATACATTTTATTCACTTTATTGTTATAATTTTTTTTATATAATACGTGACTTTACAGAAAGAACCATAGAATATCGGATATTCACTTGTTTCAATTAAGCCAGGATGGGTTATTTTAAACACATCTATGTGTTATGTGTGGGTCGTCAAGTGTTTCCAGGAGTATCCTCGATGACTCATGGAACATAATCAGATTTCTCTCGCACGCCTCAAAGCGCGGGTCGCGAGTGTAAAGATTACATGAAATGAATCGATGGAAAAAATAACGTCTCCTTTCCCATATGCGTCTCTCTACATACAAAAATAAAGATTTACAAAAAAAAGCGATACTTCCCTCTGGAAGTGCATCGTATCAGCAGCATTGGGGTTTGATACCAGCAAAGTCTGGACCAGTTTTGACATTTAGTGTCTCATCAGCAGAAGTCGGGCTTGCTTCAACCAATGCTGGTCAACTGCCTGATATTTATAGACAAGGCCCCTTTCTGCGAGAAATGGGTCCTAATTTGACGCCAAACTCATACATGAGATACTTAACACAAAATAATATTTAAGAGTCGTTGTCAAAGGATGTTTTGCAACAAAGTAAAAAAAAACTATCCCACATTCCCACTGGGGTGTTCGTGTGAGAGTCCGCCTTATAGCCAACTGACAACTGAAGCAATTGGCGGGACCCCGGGGTCCCATCACTGCCCCAGGGTGGGAAAAACCACGTAGCGACACGAGTCTTGCCTTACCGACAACAAAACTAGTGGTCAATCGATTGGCCTCGTCGAGAGCTACTCGGGGCACTAAGTTTCGTAAAAAGTTTTAAAGTTACATAAACACGTTAAATTCACTGCCTTGGGGGGCGGGCTCGCCTTGGCAAAGAATCTGAGGATCGACGGCTGACCGGAGGGCGTCGTCGCCGCACGCGACTGCGGCGGACGCCCCCCGGGGTTTGCGTTTGGCCGCTGGGGTGGCGCCCATCGTGTTGATCGCCGCCTGCTACTGGCGCTTGCTGGCGCGAGTCTGGGCGGGCGGCGCGTTGCTGTCGGGATCACGAGTGGGCGGACATTTATCGGCACCGTTTTAATGAATGCATGGATTTTAAGTTGCTGCCGCAGTTGGCAGAGCCGTGAACTTTGTGCAAAATTCGTTGGTCCATGTGTGGTAAGTTATAAGTCAGATGTGTCCGCTCTATTTACTCTTTGACTTCAATAAAAAAAAATCATTTCCGTGCAACATTGAATCTTAAAAAAACAAAATAAGACGTCGCGACTTTGGTTTAATGAATGTTCCCATCGTCGTTGTCAGTGTGTTCCGCAGCTTCCTGCAAGTATAAAATTAGATATTTTATTTCAATAGGTTAGTCTAAGATTCCTTTAGTTATTATTATATTAATAAGTGTTGCTAAGCAAATAGAGCTTAAACAGTCTTTTCGCCAAAATATAAGTGTTTTTGTTTTTACGTGCAAAGTGATCTATTATGTTTGTAAATCAAGGGACTTAAACTATTGTATTTATATAATGAAAGGTTATATTTGCCGATAACGTGTTTGAATGTTCCAATCTATTACCTTTTCCAATACAGTATTAATATTGCAATATTATTGGATTAGAGGAACGTTATTGCTTCAAGGTTATGAGTTGTATAATATATACCGTCTTGCCTGGATTATAAGATGCACATGTTTCCACTGTTTTCTTGTGAAGGAAAAGTCGAGGGTGCATCTTACAATACAGCAGCTGTGCAGTGTTTGAATGTGAGAGATCAGAATTGTTTTACTTTTCGTGTTGAGTTCGTTCTCCTACCCCACACCCCTGATTCAGTACGAAAGAAGTTCAGGCACAAGTTTGAAGTGCGTCTTACTTCCCAGAGCATCTTATAATCCCGAGGATGTGGTAAGAGTGCAAGGAGTTACATTTCTATAGCAGTAACTGCAAACGTTTTTTTTCCCTGTAAATACACTCATACATTGAAGTATAATTGTTTGAAATATCACTTTTTCTTTACCACTTGCAAGCAATCCATTATCATCAAAGTAAACGTCATTAGGTAATCATCGTTTATGCCAAGTAGAGGACCACATCGCATAAAATTACATGAGCATTTCAAGAACGGTACAAGGGCTTTTAGGCTCTTAACATTATCAGGAATGGTTACGACAATGTGATTTCATTTATCCAAGGTAACTGTCCAGAATACCATGTTTTATAGTGACCTTTTTTTTTCCAAAGCTCACGCACAATATCTTTTAAATCCAATCATTAATTTCTCACTCGATAATTTCTGCAACGCTGTGAGAGTGACTTGGGGTAGGGATTATTAGCGTAAGGCACTACCACTAGAGTACAATGCATATCTATCCATCCCTGTTTCATTATACCGTGTATTCCTATAATCCTTCAAACGCTGTATATACACACACACCTTTTCGCACACCACTGCAGACAGACCACTGCAATATCACGAAGACAATAAATTGAGATGGATGTGGCGTGCCAAAATAAAGTCCCAGACTTCTGGGTGATGTTAACCACTGGCTGTATCTCCAGAGCACACGCAAAGCAGACAGCACCATGTGGTTTTTTTAAAAATATTTCTTTTGAATCTTACCGTGACATTCCTGAGCTAGGATTGTAATAAACATTTCCATTGCTGGGTCTTTTTTTATCTCAACATAAAACTTTTAAATAATCAAATTATAAATAACCTTGATGATCACCATTATCATCAGCCATGGCCAAGTGCACTGCTGGATTAAGGTTTCTCCAAGCTTCAGCAATCTAACAATGCAATAATCCACCGAGGACCTGCACACCAGCTGATTGCATCGCTCCATCTCCTCCATAGACGTCCTCTGGGGCCCACTCCATTCCTGGCCCGCTAACCACGTTTCACAATTATTTTCCCGTCAGCCATCACCCTTTCGAGACATGACGTGTCCTGCCTAGGTCCGCTCACTTGCATTAACAGTTTGCATTGTGTATTTACCCTTGCGTGCGTTAACTGTTCCATTCTCGTCCGTCTCGGAGTAATTTAAAGAGTGCGTCTCGCCACGCTTGGTTGCACAGTGTACATTTTTTTGTTTCATTATTTTTGCTAATGACAATGTATGTGAACCGTACGTCGCAGGGGGTGGAATGCACCGATTTAAAATGTCCTTATTGATGCTCGTTGGCTCTATTACCTTTCACGATGAAGTTTGTACTTTTCGTTTATTTCAGAAAAAAACAAACATTCTTAAGAGGAAATCAAAAGTACCTCTGAGCATTGTTACATGTTTATCTCCAGACCTTTGTCGATCCACTGCTGGATGAGGGCCTCTGCACACGTGCAAGTCGCGTGGATTATTTGGCCATACGATGGTCAGCCCGGGTTGGTGAAGGTGGAGAGCATTGGCATGGAAGCATTGGAGTACAGTGCAATAGATTATTATTTTACCTGCACGGCGCTCTGGCAACCTGCTTTTGGCGAGGTGTTTTTCCCATCCAAGCACTGTCCAGGCTCAACACTTGTGTCTGGATAGTGCCAAGACTTGACCAGGCCAGGCGTATCCCAGGTGCTTTGGTCATCGGCAGCATTTCCAAAGCAGTCATACAGTTTACGTAAAATATTTGCACTGCGGTTAATTTGCTTTGTGAGCTGTATGTATCTATATACGGCTAACATCAGTGGCGCGTGATATCTGAATGAGTATTCGGCACCTCCATTCACCAGCCTGCACTGACCATACCCTCATGAAGTATAGCTGGCGTGGCGTGGAGAGGCCTTCATCCAACGCTTTATTGGTAAAGGGCTGGAAATTACTATTATAACATGAACCAGCAAAGTGGTCCATTGTGTGTATGTTGAGTTTCTTTTGCGCAGTACGTAGCCATCCGTGCTAATCGGCAGAGGGAAGAGGCTCACAATGGGAGGGTTACGAGTTCAAATCCTGGGTGGAGGGTTGACCCAGCACATCATCCACCTGGGGTCGAATAAATTTATCACCGCTTCGTGGGGAAGTGAACAATAATTTCTAATAGGAAGTTCCACTACTGGCTCAGCACCGCGTCAATGCTAATTTGAGCAAGGGAATCACTTTGTTGTTTGAGCTCCGTTGCTGGTGTTGTCCATGATCGCCTATGTAAATTATGATTACATTTCTGTTGAATAGCAATATAATGTTTTTGTTAGGTTTATTAGAAAGCATTGTGCACTTCCATTAAACTACATTAAACATCAAAATATAATTCACGTGTTTTTTTTTGTATTTGTATTGCATTAGCCAATCTCTGTCCCACAACTTCCTCTTAATCTTGACCATTTATCCCTCGACAATTTTCCACCGAAAATTGCCATTCACAATCAAGACATTAATTTTCACGCGTGAAAAAATAACAATACGATTTTTTCCCATCTCTGGCATTAAAACAGGAGTTGTTTTAAAAAGTTCAAACACCAAATAGAAAGAAATCAAATTCGCATTAACCAAACTTACTTGCGGTGAACATGCAAACAAACATGCTCTGATAATATAATATGTAGCATTGTATTTGAAACTGATTGCCCTACACCATAGACAGTCTACTTTAGGGCCCAGTCACATATTTGTTTGCATGTTCACCACAACCACTGTGTGTGGGTAATGCGAACTTGATTCCTTGCAAAAAGGTTTCTATTTTTGGTGTTTGAACACCATAACACCTGTTTTATTGCCAGGAAGGGTAAAACACTTTGGTTATTTTTTTCATACTTTGGTTATTTTTTTATACTTTGATACTGACAAAAAAAGGGTCCCGTTTTATTTTCACGCAAATTAGACGCACACGAGGGGAAACCTCTGAAGACAAAAGTTAAGAATACTACAGAATGCCTGACGTGCATCAAACAAGCAACTGACTTTATTTGCATGTTTGAAAAAAATATTCTTACATTCACGTGTACATTTTT